TTTGGCCCTTAGGTATGCCGTAATTCTTAAAAGGATTTTTTTTTTCCTTCAGTATTGTTAAAAAAGCCTTAGATACATTACCAATCTTGAACATATGCAGATCAGTATGGACTAAATAATGAATTACATAAAGGTGGGCAAGCTGGAGAAAATCTTGTTACTAGTTTCAGAAAATGGAAGACAAATAATAGATGAAATGGATCTACTTTGTTGCAAACTATAACAGTGATGTTACTTAGGAGCTCTTTTTGAGAGTATAAGCAATGCAAAGACAGAGGCGAATGCTGTGTGTGTTGGTCGATGTTCTTTGGAAAGGACGTAAGCCTGCTTACCATCTTAATGTGTCTTGCATTCTGTCTGTGAAGACGTGTCCAGGTTTAATATCACTCAAAAAGTGTCATAGCCTGGCTTTGGCACCTTTTTTTTTCTTTTTCTTTTTTTTCCCTAGGATTAGGAAGTCTTTCCCTTTGAGGTGATTGGCTTCAATCTAGACAGTGTTTTCCTAAATAAACGATGATCACTACTACTTTTTGACTCTTCTTGGTTGCCTGTGTGAAAGGAATTCTTGGCTTGGGTCCATTTCCAAAGGGAGAGATGCTAACAGGACTTGATGGGTACAATATGGAAGCCAATAGTTACGTGCATCTGGACACAGCACTCCACCACTGGTCTGTTTTCTTCCTGACAATGCTCACCGCATTGTCAATGTTACCACAGTGGATTGCTGAAACACGGTGGTTTTGTTTTAAAAAGGAATAAAATTACGTTCAAAAAATTGTTTATAATGGCTTATCTGTCTTTCCTGGCCTGATGTTGTGCAATACACTTCACATTTGCACTGAATACTTCAACTATTGCAGACTGGTCAGTGTCCTCAGCCTTCGCTATCTTAAAATTACATGGGTTTTATCTTATCTGTGATGGGTTTCCTGTTAACTTCACTGGAATCTGATTTTGTCTCTCCATGGGGGCAGCTGGAGCATGAACCATGTCATATAATGAGCAAGGACAGTCTAAGGACAGAGCTGTACAAGAGCCAAAGCTTGCATAGCTTATTTAGGATGAGGATTTAAATATCTGATGCTTATGGTTATATTTAGGGCTACCACTACCATGCAGTTGGAAGCCTGATGTCAAATAATGGAGTCTTTTGTTTCTATGCTATACCACTTCTCACTGTGTACTAAAGTAATTGATAGTTGTTCAAAAAGTGAACTATAAATTTTAAATATTTATAAAACATCATTGTGGAAGTGTGGCTGGAGGTTCCACATTTCAGGTTTCAATCAATTTTGAACTGGAAGCGAGGATGCAGCTGCTTTATTATGTGCAAATAATAGTGTATTCACACACAAATTACATCACTTATTCTTTCAGTACATGATTACTGTCCCCACAGTTTACAAATTAACTAGTTAAAAAATGAAAAAGTTAACACTTCTAAGAAACTTAGGGCCCTTTGTCAGCACATTATTCATTTCCTGTGCAAGGTCATTGTTTAAATAACATAATCTTATCGAATTCCTAGATAACTGCATTCGTTGCAGTAAGACCTATAACATTTCTTTGAACTATCCTTCAAAACAGTATTCATCTTTTTTGTTGTTTTTTAAGATTAATTTTTTTTCATGGGAGTTGAAAAAGTAATCCTTTTTAGAAAAGAATAAAACATTGATTTGAAATGTTTACACTCCCTCACCAAGGGCAATAGGATCAGACCATGGTGGCCCTTAGAGGACGCTTCTGTTGATCTCAGACTTGAACTGGACTGTAGATTCTGTGTGCCTTTTTGAAGCTAGGTAAAGGCATCTTGATTTTTGAATTATATATTAGCCTGGATGGAGTACTGGCATGGAAATATCCATTTTAGAAGTTGTGAGCAATGGGTCACTCTCATACTAATCAAAATAAGGGTTGTCACTTTGGACATGAGGGAGAATCTAAGAATGACTTCTCTGTGGCTGACCTACTTTTCTTAGGAGCCTACCTGGCTTCCTTGCCAGGTACATTTTCAGAGGTGACTTTTCATTATCTTCAGATATCAGATCTACGTGTTCCAATATGTAATTACTCTCACAAAGAGAGGATCAGTTTTCATGTTGGAACATAGATTTGTCTAACTTCAGTTTACAATTATTGGAGCTTGTTTTGCCTTTCTTTGCAAGGTTAAAAAGCTCTCAGGTATTTTTTCTATATATATGCCCCTACTGCAAGGACTCAAGTTATCTCTCAGCCATGTCTCCGGTGATGGAAGGACCTCTCAGGTCTCCAGAAATTCCATGTCCTTGAAATGTGAAAAGTAAATCAGCTCTTACCATTTCTGTGTGCAGAAGTAAAATCATTCTCCTCTTTCTATGTTTCTTTTTTTTTTTTTTTTTTTTTCCTAAATAGATCTAGTAAGGATTATTTGGGATTTTTACAACAGTACCACAAATGAGTGCTCCCGGTGACACACAGCACATTATGACAACACTGGATTTTGCTCAAGAGAAGCTCATATGCTTATGTGACGTTGCAGAGCTGACAGAGTTTTCTGAATTTAGTTCCTGAGATAACTCTTTTGCAACTATCTCAACTATATCTTCACGGCAGTGCACGGTTCTAGAAATCCCTGGCTTTAGGACATATTGTTTTTTCCCTCATGCAGGCACAATCTGTGTTCTTGGTTCTCACAAACCATGTTTTCAGTGTTGTTAAAACAGATTTAATTTGACTGAGACCACTAACAAAGTGGTTCAGATTACACTGAACGTGTGACTAGCTCTCTTTAGTGTTTGCTATTTTACCAATCCCCATGCCACTTGAAATTGGTTGTGCAAATATTGTGGAGCTTCGAGACAGTTAAACCTGAAGGTAATTTCATCCCATCTAATTTGAGTAATCCTGGACATACTTCTAGCAGCAATGATGTTCCGTGGGAATGCTATGGCAACATTAAAACGTTGGCTGTCTAGCAGGCTTACAGCATCCTGTGCATGATCCGTGAATAAATAGAGGAATTTAGTTCCCAGAGTGTCAGTCTGGCACATTTCACAAGCTCTACATTCACTTACCAAAAAAAAAAAAAAAAAATTTAAAAAAATCAGCCAGTCATACAGAGAAAGTGCTATAGAGACTGAGTGATAAATTTCCTGCTGCTAACCCTTGTATATACAGACTCTAAGAAGCCAGGAATAAATCATGCATGGCTTAATTCAGAGGGGAAATATGCTTTCCTTCAGATTTTTTATTGGTTTTGTTCTCATATGCTTCTCTTTGTTCTTATTATTATTTTATTTTTTTTGTGTCCTTGCGTCTCCTTGCTAGTCTGTGGACATATTAGTATGGTTTCTTTTTGTTAGATGTGATCTCTCTTTGAATGGAAGGTTGGAGATATGGTCAGTGAAGTACCAGGTTCGAGCTAAAAAGCCCCAAAGGGATATTAGTCCGGGGTTCAGTGCTAAGAAACACGTTCATATTGTTTCTAGTCTGCTGCAAATGAGAGCACAACACTGTGTCTGCACTTAGTTCAGTCATGGAGTGATTTCCGGTGCCCCAAAATGCATATAAGCTTTATGTCTGCCAATTGGTCTCTTTTGCTGTGTATATCTCAAAAAAAGGAAATGCAAGGGCATTTATAGGATTATGCTGCTTTTTCAGATGACACCTAACGTGAATGAGATGGGAGTAGGGTAGAGCTTACTCCTTTAACAGCAAGAGTTCAGGCTCCCTAGTCACAGAGCCCACACTTGGAGAGTTTCTCTCACTGAAGAGAGATGTTTTGGGGAGAGTTCTAATCTTGACTGAAACTTCCAGGGGAAGTTTTTTCCCTATAAATTATTCTGATGGTTTACCACCTTCCTCATTAAAATATGTCTATCTTCAATTCAGTTTTTTTCTTTTAGTTCACTGAACTTGTAGAAACTCAGACTATCTTTATATCACCACATATCTGTTTTGCTCTTTACTTCATGGATATGAACATCATTCTTGAAGCTTCACTTTGGCAGGCGTAGGTAGAGTCACCTGAACTGTACACACTGAAGCGTGTTCAAAACTGATGGTATCTGAACTGACCACTATCTCAGAAAAGAAATTTTAGGATTCACCAAAGATAGTTTCATGAAAAATATCAGCTCCACCCTCATTAACAGCCAAATAAAATTAAAAATAAAACAGCTGTTAGGAAGTTTTGGGAAAGAAATATGTAACAAAAGGGAAAATATCCTGTCGCTGCTGTGTAAGTGAGATGAGTTGGCAGGGGCTACTCTTCAACATGGCAAAGAGACAGTTTACGGGGGACATTTTGGAAGTCTCCCAAACCCTTAGCAATGTGGAAGAAGCAGACAGGCATTAATTGTTAGCTGTCTCTTCCAAACCATAAACTCTAGTTTTAAAACTCATATGAACTAGGCAATTCTTCATGCAACAGGCAGTAGATGAGTGAATCTCCTTGCCAAAGAAAATGCAGTAAGTTGTGGACACCAGTTTACATGGCTTCAGGAGGACGGGGGAGAAGTAATCTTAGCCCAGGGCTGAGACAACAGGCTGACTGCATGCTCTGCCAAATCCAGTGTCTCCATTACTCTGTTTTATCCCTTCCTCCTTCTTGTGGCTTGCCTTGAAAGGAAAGCCGAATTTGAACAGAAAACAACTGAATTCAATATCCTGTCTGAAGACCTTATTTATTTACATTTTTTTGGTTCTGACCTTCAGTTAAAACCTCTGGATAAAAGTCGACATATAAAACTAATGTCATGATAGAAACAACATAATGATCACGAATGCCAGATGTCTGCATTAGAACAAACTGACATTCATTATAAAGTGTCTTAAAGATTAATGAAGCTTAAGGAAAAAAGTTGCAACTTTTAAAACTGTTTAAAAAAGAGTAAGTTATATGTACAAAGGTGTCTTAAGTTTGGCATGCCACAGACAAAACATGCTCACCAGGGAAAGTCTTTTTTTGTTGAAGAAAAAATGAAAACTCAACTCTGCACAAGGTTAAAGATTGTATTTTAATCACAGACTGAAACATCATGATTTACAAAACTGATGGTTTAAAACCAACCACTACATCTTTCTGCGGGAATACTCCCCCCACACCCTAGCAGACTAAGGGTTCAAGTGAAGAACAGAGCTGTTCATGTTTGCCTTTGGGACTTAATAGTGATTTCCAGGATGATGACTGATGCTGCAAGAATTCACCTAAGATGCTTGTCAATACATTTCATTTACCCAGCTGGAAGTGGCTTCTTCTAGGGAACTCTGCTGGATTCATCAGAAATCCCAACCATCTTGCAGCTTTCTGTCCAGAGCCTTCTCTGCAGCTCCTCATCATATGCTACGTCAGCTGATTTTGTCCTTTCCTCATTATAAAGGTAGCAGCCGCCAGCTCCTTCCATCTCAGGTGATACTGCTGCATAGATGCTTGTAGAAGCTCCTTCCTCTGGAGTCTGCAGAAACAAAAAAAAACCCCACAAATTCAGGCCTGGCAGGTACAATAGAAGAATTACATTACACCCTAGGACCTTACCAGCGACAATCAGCTTCCCCAGTTTTTCATCTCATTTGTGGTCCTTATGCAAAACTCAAGCTGGCAATGATAAAAATCCTATCCAACTGGCAGGGTACACTTCATTTCTAAAACAGTGCTATTCTGAGATGGCTTAAAGCTACAGAACAGATATATGGAAAACTCTTGTCCATTTTTTCAAGAGCTAGTCAGATGGGGCACACCAAATAATTGATTTAGTTTTCACATTTAGAGATAATAAACCCAAAAGCAAACGCAAATATTAAAATCTAAGTTTAATTATTCTTTTTTCAAGGGTGAAAGGGTCTGTACTCTGCCTTATGAGGAGGAAGGCTATGCTGTATGTGCAATGTGTTCACTGTAACAACAATATAAGACAAGCAAAGGATCATGGAAACCACGACAGCAAATTAAGATCCCACAGTTCAACCCAAGCAGGCAGGTAAAGCAGGGAATTACATTTTACACAGAGCATAGTTATCAGACTTCTGCAGTGTCATAAAGCAAAGTTGTGAAAGACCTATAATGTCTGATATACCATGAGTATTAAAATAAAATTAATAAGTGAATAGCTTAGAGTGATAGCTCCTTTCATCACAAGGATATGCAAAACATTTCCATTTTGCATTCAGAAGGATCACACAGCTATCACTGAAATTATTTCAATGGCATTTTTATTCTTTCATTGAAGGCCATATTTACAACACAACATTTGATATGTTTTGTCTTGATCAGTCATATAATTATGATCAATGCCTGCTAGATAATAATGTGTCATTTTACAATCCTTGCAGTCATTCTCAGAGTCATTAACAGTACCAACGTTGCTCATAGCTTTGTCTGCTGCACCTGACAGGATGTTTTTTCCTGAAGAACTCACTTGATGAATGAGACAGTATTACACAGGTTACTCAGTGCATAATTTAAAAAAATATAAATCTAAGTCATTTGAAGGTTTTTGTGATGAGGTTCTGATATTTCAAAATGAAACAACTCTGTTTTCTCACTGTGCAATAAATACAACACAATTCAATAGAAATAATTAATTAATCTGATGCATCTCACATTTGGTCTCCTTTACAAATAAGTTGGAGCCATGTCACACAACCACACGGTAAGGCAAGGCTACCCAAACTGCAACATGTCCGTCTGCTGCCGGGGCAGAGCGCCCTCAGTATCTGCGAGGGAAACACATTCCCTGCACAACCACAGGCACATTCCCCCAAAAGTGAGCCGCTGAAGAAGAAACGTGCCCTGCTGAGATACTTCCATACACAGAGCTCCACTGGTTCCATGCCAAGCCCTTGATCAAAGGTGCTTAAACTGAAGGGAAAACTACTGATGCCAACAGGCTGCAAAGAGCAGTAACACCACCATACGTTCCTTCAATGACTGCAAAATAGCCAGTTTTTACTATCGTCTACCACACAAAGACAGCATGTCCTGTTCCAAATACCCCCTAATGAAATAAGACAATAACTCAGCTATCCAATGGGTTGTTTTCTCAGAAAAATATCATTCAGTATGTTAAAAAAAACTCGGGTCCAGGTAACTACTGGAATTTTTTTTATTTTTTAAGATGACTGTACGGTGAGATACTATCTAGAAACACTTAAAAAGTGCTTATTTACCTTAGTTTAGTACTCTACTAATACTTCTTCACCCTTCTTTATCATACGGAAAATAGTGCTATTCACATCCAGTAGATTAATTAAACAACATAAAGCTGTGCGCATGCATAATTCTTTGCAGGATCAGGATGTCTCCAAAAATTTGGACTCCACATGCTCACATAGTGGCATCAGCTATGATGCAATATAAAATGTCTTAATACGGTAAAATAGCAGAACAATGTTGAAGATGAGCAATTCATATTTTATAGAATTTATTCTGGATGACAGAGAAAAAACAAAAGTTTTTAAGGTACTGCTGTGCTTTACTTAAAAACCTAGTGACACAGATAAACCATTACTTCATGCGATGGCTCACTGGACGTTATGTTCCTGAGTTCAACAGCTCTCCAGCACAAACAAGTATAAATGTCAGTGTCGATGACTCCCAAATTTTAATGACAACAGCTCAAAACTAAAATGCTTTTAAAAAATTGTCTGTGGGTGGAATTTGTGTGATTATGTTCCTATGAGCAGGGCTCTCTACAGCCTCAGAGACTGGTCTGTATGGATCTTCCTGCAGCATCAGAAATACCCTGTACCTTTGCTGATTCAATGGGAAGGTTTTCCCAGGATATGCAGGATTTATCAACTTTTTTATTTTTTCATAATGTGTCAAGCAAGTTTCCCATCAGAGGGGCTCTATTCAAAATAAAATCAAACACGTTAAATAAAGGCTATGTACGAGTTGAAAGACGGTTGTTGGTTTTATTCATGCAGCACTAGTAGGTGTTTACCAAACCATTTTATATAGCAAATTGTTTCTTATTCTTTGATACAAAGAAAATATCGAGCAGGCTCAGACCAGCCCACTGCATCCTGGGCTGCATCAAAAGCAGTGTGGCCAGCAGGGCAAGGGAGGAGATTCTCCCCCTCTACTCCGCTCTCATGAGACTTCACCTGGAGTACTGCATCCAGCTCTGGAGTCCTCAACATAAGAAAGACATGGACCTGTTGGAATGAGTCCAGAGGAGGGCCGAGAAGATGATGAGAGGACTGGAGCACCTCTCCCATGAAGGCAGGCAGAGAGAGTTGGGGTTGTTCAGCCTGGAGAAGAGAAGGTTCCAGGGAGACCTTATAGTGGCCTTCCGGTACCTACAGGGGGCCTACAGAAAAACTGGGGAGGGACTCTATCAAGGAGGGTACCGGTCGGATGATGGGTAACAGATTTAAACTGAAAGAGGGTATATTTAGATTAGATATTGGGAAGAAATTCTTCACTGTGAAGGGGGTGAGGAACCAGAGCAGGTTGCCCAGAGAAGCTGTGGATGTTCCATCCCTGGTGTCGGTCAAGGCCAGGCTGGATGGGGCTTTGAGCAACCTGGTCTAGTGGAAGGTGTCCCTGCCCATGGTGCTGGGGATAGAACTAGATGATCTTTAAGGTCCCTTCCAACCCAAACCATTCTATGATTCCATGAATAATAAATGTGCTTACATGGACACACTGTGACCAATCTATAAGCACACTGACATTGTCACCATCCATTAAGGACAGCTTATGTAACTTTTCACAAGATTTAATTTGTTTTTCATCCTGTCCACCATATCTAATATGCTGCGTAGAAGGTTCTGTGTAAAATTCCTATTTAGTTTCTATCACCTGTTGCTAAAAGCAATTATTTAAACATGTAAGGAAAAAAATACTATAATACATTAAGTAATTAGTGTATAATAATTTAAGATAAAGGAAAACAATTTTTCCAGTGCAATGGGGAGCAGAGTCGCATATGTATGATTAATTAATTGTCTTACCCTGTCTTCTGAGTGCTTAATTAATGCTGAAAGCTTTAATGTTCCCTTACTTGAGGATCTCTTCATTGTTTTGGCATATTTTCTGTTTTAATGAAAGTAAAAAGTAAACCCTACACCAGAAGTCCCCTGGCCTTCCATCTGGGTGGATGACCTACCCATTTTGAGTGGCTGGAAGAAAAGCATATGCTGTGATTCTACCTCTGGATCATGTTCATGCCTACTGTGAAAGCACCATACATCCGCCTGCCCACACACAGTCAAGACTCCTTCCCAAAGTGTTGGATCTACAACACACCCATAGACCAACTGCAACACACGCAGACACATGCACACACATCCCACCTGTGTACCAGCACTTGAGGAGCTCTTGGGAAGGAAGAAGCTGGCAGAAGGTTGCAACCACTGGAGCAATTCTTGGGTATCTGGACAGGGAGCAGGATGACTTGTTCCAGCAGTGGCAGCCTCACTCCTGGTTGCAAGCTTTCCTGGCAGACCCGTAGCTCTTATTTTACCACATGACAGCCCACCAAAAGATGAGCAGGAACCATAAAGCCCTTGTAAAAGAAGACGACCACAAACAGGAGACTACTACTGAAGCAACACATCTGACCCACCTTTTGATGACAACAGACTTCTAGGAAGGAAAGCACCTGATAACAGGCCAGAGAAACCACCAGCCAGTGGTTGAATATCTTGATTTATAAACCCCAGGATGTTTGTCTTGATGCTTTATACAAACAGGAACAAGTTCCCATCTTTGGGACTCTGAAGTATTATACCAAAAGTTGCAGGTAGACAGGCAGTAATAATAAGTACCATTCAAATCACAGGTGAGGATACTCTACACATTGCCAGAATTAAAAAAGAAACCACCAAACAGTAACAGAATAATATACATATATATAGGATATAGATATTATCCTGTTACAGCTTGGCATTACTCTTGTTCATGAATCGTCTGGACTTAGCCTTAAGCAAGGGGGGCTCCTATAAATTACACAATGATTTTTCACTCTTCAGTTACCAAATTATTGGTGCTGAACATTTTTTAAATTGCATTTTTGTTTACAAATTATTATTAGTAACCAAGCAACTGTAATGAATACCTTTGTCATATCCAAGTAAAACTGATTTCTGCTTAACTTTTTCCTAATGAAATTCTGCATCTGCAATTCCTTTTGCTTGTTACAGTATTGATCACATCTTTTACTTTTACTTTATTTTGCAATTAACTATTTGCTTGCAGTGTCCCTTCAACAGTAAATAAAGCTCTGATTGAAATTACGTATCTTTGTATTGCTCATTACATGGGTAGGCTGAGGAAGAAGGACAGAAAAGATTGCATGTGACCAGCTTATTTAAGCAAAATGCAGCCTATATACACAAAATAACATTATTTTGGCACTATGGATTCGCAAAGAAAAAGACCTTTTTTTACAGAAGCTTTGATATTTCTTTTTTTAAATATTCATCACTAGTAAGTCATCAACATAGAATA